AGGCATCGAAATAACAGCTGGGGTGTTAGGGTTGGCTGGATTGGTGTTTAAGTTTGTGTCACGCAGACTGCATCGGAAGGCATTGAAACACGACGAGATAAGGATTCTGGCCGAAGCAAAACTGAACACGGTAAGTGAGCGTATTTCCACAGCACTCACTGATAGTAAGATCTCAGAGGAGGAATCTCGCTCAATCCTCTCTGAACTCGACAAATACTGTAAGATGAAACAAGAAATCCGGCTCAAGTCTCGTAAGTCTGCTATCAGCGAAGACGAGAAAAAAAGGTACATAGAACAAGGGGTACGAAACATTAAACTGTTTCACACGACATAGTGCCAAGTGATCAGGTTCGCGGTCATAGCGGCACAGTAGTGCCACGTGGGGCCGGGAAGTTAACTGGGGGTTCAAAAGTAGTAGATATACTGGGGGCGAGATCTAAGGGCCTGACAAAAGCTTTATTTGTGAAATAAAGCTTTGCAGAGGCTTTTGTTGGACTTGATCTCGGACTGTCATTATATCTACTACTCAAGATGTTAACAAATATTTGATTAACTTGTTGAATCAGGCATTCAAAACAGGTGAACTTTTGGTAAGCCAAAAACAGGGCCTTATAACATGTATTCCCAAACAAGATAAACCTGAAGACCAAATTAAAAACTACAGACCTATATCACTTCTTAACATATCGTATAAACTAGCCTTGTCCGTAATTTCAGCGCGAATAAAACGTGTACTCCCGAAAATAATAAGCGACGATCAAAAAGGCTTCATGAAAGGTAGATACATTGGCGAATGCACGAGATTGGTCAGTGACATTATGGAATACAGGATTACTGATAATGATAGAGTTTGAAAAAGCTTTCGATTCCATGGAATGGTCTTTTATTGAGAAATGTCTTAACTTCTTTTTTTTTGGACCATCAATCAAACACTGGATTAAAACATTTTACAACAACATAAATTCTAGCGTTTCAATAAATGGTTTTGCATCAGACTTCTTCCACATTACTAGAGGCTGTAGACAAGGTGATCCTCTATCGCCATATCTATTTCTCATAGTCGCAGAAATCCTTGCTCACATGTTACGTCAAAATGACAAAATAAAAGAGATAAAAATGTTTGACTTAAAATATTTGCTAACACAGTTCGCGGACGATATAACTATAATCTTAGACGGGTCTGAACGTTCTTTTCAAACAACATTAGAAGTGCTTAAACAATAAGCATCCTTCTCTGGTCTTAAAATAAACATTGATAAAACTAAAGTATTGTGGATAGGTTCTAAACAATTCTCAAGTACACAGTATTGCAGAGTCTATAATCTGGACTGGACGCAAAGACCTTTCAAACTGCTAGGTATCATATTTCAACATAATAAGGCAGAAATGGTGGAAAGAAACTATAAAGATAAACTAAAGAAAATGGATAGATTAATGAAACTTTGGTCACTTAGAGATCTCACACCATTCGGCAGAATAACTATCCTGAAAAGCCTAATATTGCCCACACTCAATCATCTATTTTCCTCACTACCAAACCCCAAAATGAATACAATTCAAATGATCCAGAAAAAGATCTTCGCATTTATTTGGAGAGGCAAACAAGATAAAATAAAAAGGTCTCTGATAATCAGAAACTATAAAGAAGGCGGCTTGAAAGTTCCAGATATACTCGAAACTATAAAATCTAAAAAAATATCATGGATAAGAAGGCTGTTTACAACAAATTCTAAATTCAACAATATCTTAAATAACATGGTAAAAAATACAAACCCAATAGAAATGGGCTCAAATTACTTGAAAACACACATCATCCCAAAACTTAAAAACCTTTTCTGGAAAGATGTTCTGGATGCTTGGGCTGATTTACAAGAACGGTATCCTTACACGAAATCCGACTTTTGCAAACAGTATATTTGGGCAAATAACAATATAACAATTGGAAACAAATCTATACTATATGAACACTACTTAAAAGCAAATGTAAAATTTATAAATGATGTACTAAAAGATGATGAATCCTTTCTGTCTTTCACTGAGTTTAAAGAAATGTATAGAGTAGAGACAAATTTCTTAGAATATGCGGGATTAGTATCTTCAATAAAACAATATTCAAAGCAAGAAGCTACGCTATTGACAAAGCAAAGACATTTACCCTTTATTCCCCCGAATGTAAAAATACTCTATGAAAATAAGAGAGGCTGCAATATTTTCTACACAAAGCTACTAAACAAGGCTAAATCTATTCCAAGTTTAGGATATCAATGTAAATGGGAAAACGACCTTCATCACAGTTTTCCACCTGACTTATGGAATACCTATCATTTTATACCATTCAGAGCTGTTCATAACACTAATGAAAGATGGTTTCAATATCGTATTGTCCACAGAATTCTCACAACCAATAAAGACCTATACAACTATAATACAGTCAGCTCTCGTTAATCCGACTCTCATTAATCCGACAATCACGTTAATCCGACAAAAAATTAGGGAACCATTTAAAACAGTGATAATTACTCTCGTTAATCCGACATTCTCGCATTCCGACTCCGACACACCAATCTAGCAACTGATTATTGTAAATACATTGTAAAAACATTTGTTAATCCGACAATCAACACAGCCGGTCGGATGATCCGACCGTATACAAACAATCACACGTGAGTGGTAATTAGCGTGTGCCTTACTGGCTGCTTGACACCAACGTCAGTGAACATCACACTTGTTAATTAGGAACACAGGATAATTAATTGAGACGATTTAATCAAGAAATAACAGTAGAGCGAGCTGTATAAAATGTTTACAACCGACATGGGTTTTCATCACAAGATGTACACCACCTGCTAAGCTACCCCTTGTAGAAGTTACGCCATTGATCAAGAAAGAAATCTCCTTTTGAAGAAAGACAAACCCCAGACAACACAAGAAGTCATCACTTTTTGCTGAGCAGAAGTTTGATGTGAAGATTGGACGATCAACCGTATCTGACCTCCTGAAGCAGTCTGCTTAGTGGTTGAGCGTCTGTACGACTGATTCCAATGCTTCAAGCTACCTGAGGCCAAAACATCGTTGAACACTTTGCAAACATTTCTGACACACCACTTAGACGTGTTTGATGTTAATAGCCACCAAATTTTTTTAAGTTATAAATTATATATGTTATGATAAACGCCTGATTGTACATTAGACGTCCACATGTAATTATGGAATTAGTTGTATGGAAACTGTAACATATTCAACATCCGGGTCATAATGGCAGCTGATATGCGGTAAAAACAAACATGAGTTTCGTGCCAATGTGGTCATGAAATAGATATGAAACTGTTCGCTTACGAGTATGACGATCATAACATTTAGTAAACATTGATATTTTCACACAAATACATTAATCCGACATTTTCATTAATCCGACATTTCCGTTAATCCCACATATTTCTCTGCAACCACAAGTTTCTGATTAACGAGAGTTGACTGTATTATATTAGAATCACCACTATGTACATTTTGCAAGGCTGAAAAAGAAACCTTTGTTTATTTGATGTTTGAATGCAGATACGTAAATAGGCTGTGGCAAGACCTTTTAAATTGGATTGAAGATAAAACAGACACTACTATAAACCTGGATCCGAAAACAATCCTTTTGGGCTTTCATGAAAAACGTTAAGATGTTCTGAACTTGATATTTATCATAACAAAGGAATATATATTCCAGAAAACTAGCAAATATACGTCCAACCCTTGAAAGTCTCAAAGCCAAATTAAACCACAGTTACAATCCCCATAAATATAATGCATACTCGGTATGCAAATATAGCAAGTTCACGACATTCTGGTCATCATGCCACAACTTATTTACATAACCTACTCGATCTCACTTATGCTTGTTACTTAATTGTGCTGTGTATTTGAAATAATGCTGTGTATGAATGATAAAACTGTACCAATGCGTAAAAAAGAAATAAAGTGAAAAAAAAAGAAGACATGTTAATCTGTTTTTCACAATATCATTGCAGAGCTCCAGATAAGATTTAGCTCATGTGGGCACTGTACCCACTGTATTTTTTTGGAGTGGGTATTATGAATGTGGAGTGGGTATTTCATTTTCCGTTACCCACTGCTTTCAAATATGTGCATATTTCAGTCACTTTACTCATCATAAGTATTACGTCATTGAGTAAGTTTACTAAGCAGGTATGTTCTGCTTTATGTCATACCTAATCAAAACCAACTTAAATATAATGGAAATTTTTTATTTCATAAAATCACTCATCCTATACTGACAGTACAACACTTGTCCTATACTAACAGTACAACTTGATAGCAATCGATGTCTTTTTCATTACGCAAGCGATTTTTATAAATATATTCCGTACGCATTTGTTTTAAGCTCTTTGCGTATCTAACATTTTAAATGGGTAATTGGTACGCAACAATTATTTTTCAATGCGTAATTCTATGCGTATTTTACGCAGCTTATCTGGGCCTCTGATCATTGATTGATTGTTGTCTAACGCCGCACTCAGTAATATTGCAGCTATATTGTGATAGTCTGTAAATAATCAAGTCTGGACCAGACAATCCAAGTGATCAACAGCATGAGCATCAATCTACGCAATAGAGAGACAATGACATGTATCAGCCAAATTAGCAAGGCTGACACCTGATTAGTCGCCTCTTGCCCACAAGCGTGTGTTACTGAAGATCAATTCTAACCAAAATCTTAACGAGTCTCATCACGATCTGAATCTGGGGTACTTTATTCAGATACATATCCATCAATGGCAATGATGAAACGTCATGATTCATTATTTATGCATGGAATGACCCTTTTCACAAACTTGCAATTACTTCAGCATACATGTCCTAACTTATTCCCACATGTTTCTGATTATACACATCAGCAGGACAAGTTTGCATTACGCATCCTCATCACTAAAAACAAAGAAATACTATTTCAAAATCACTCATCTGGAGCACGGATAGCTGCAACAGGATACCTGTTTTTAACAAACTGTCTCTCCCTTCGTGACCGGATCTCCTGAATTTTCTGCATGGCTTTCACTGAAGGACAAAGTAGAAGCAAGGTATAAACAGCTGCTCCAATTTTTCAATAGTCAAAAGGTGAAACTCAGAAGCAAAATATCTTTGGTTCAGATAAACAGTTCAACTAACATAAGCAATAAAGTCAAAGATATGAGACGAAAATTGAAAGAAATAATTCTCAACATACGAAACCTAGCTCAATATTGCTAAAAGCAAACTAAATAAACATGTACAAAAAAAACAACACATGTGTCAAAGTTGATGGGACCTACATAAATGCTTTGAGTTATCAGAGGATCAACAAACCCACAGAACAGAATTAACTTATGAATTTCAATTTTCTGGGACTTCAATAAAACCATAAGTGTGACATTTCACAATTAGACACAATGGTATTTGATTGTAGTTGTCTCTAAGTAGTTGGTGGTGTCATACTGGGACATTTCAGTTGGCAGTTGGACATGAATTATCTCCCTTGGATTAACATGACTGCTGAATGGTATTTAAACAGGAAACATCTTTGATTTAGCTTGTTATATCTACATTTCAGACTGTTCTTTTAATATTGTGGTGGTCTAACTGTGGCTTAGATACCTTTAATGTGAAATTGGAGCAGTGTTTTAACAACTAGAAATTAGTTGCATTGGCAAGATATAAATGGCTACTTCTCTGACATTAAAACAGTCAGGTGAATGTTACTGGAAGATTAGTGATTATGAAAGCCTCCGATAATCTAAATACTGAATAGTGGCCCTTCAACTAACTACCTTGAATGAGACCTACATGCAAAAATAACTATGAGTTATCTCCTACACTTAAACAGACAGACAGACAGTCATTTTAGTCAGTAATAGGCCACTGGCCCACAAAACATTCATAGATATAAGAAGTAACATGCGTTTTACAGTTAAAAATCAGAATCTCTTATTTTCCCAACATTATATAAAAATAGGCATAAATTATTTATAACATTTATGTTTGTTGAAGACATTATGTTGATAAAGCTGTGTTGTGACACACTCTATAGAAGAATATTGACCTATTCTGGTTTTAGAGTAAAGATCACTTTACTGTACAGGGGTGGAAATAACTTTAAAATTGCTAGTGTACTCCGGTACAGTGGCACATGTAAAATCACTTGCCCTGATAATTTGTCCACTATACCGGCAGATTTTCTTGTTGATTTTTTAAAATAAACAACATAATTAACATTGGAAAGTCAACTGGACACCGGTACAGCGTGATATACAAATCGTCTTGCCCCACAGAATAGAACACTGGACTGGGACGTCGGGCAATGGGTTATTTCCACCCCTGCTGTAGTTGCTACTTGGTCGACATACTGAATATCATATGTAATACCAAATTCCAACTGTACATTTATATATCTTTTCTTCTAAAATCAAATAGTGAGCAAGTCATATTTTATGACATTTTTAGCAATATTCCCTAAATACCATGATTGAGGGAACCCGAAATGATCTTCACACATTGTACTTATATTTAAAATCAAACCACAATGTTATGCCATCACCACCTATAAAACAAAAGAAGATGGGAAAGATGCCACTGACACAACGTTCAGTGTCAAGCCAAACCTGGATCCAAACCCCATAGTCCTGTTAGGCTCGAATACACCCATGACACCCATGGGGCCTCTTGACCCCAAGTGTTTGATTACGAAGCTCACATGTGGTTTGCCAAAGCTCTCTGTCATATTTAACAGGAACATTTCTTCTCTTTTCAAATTCAAACGATGGGTCGATTGTAAGTTCTTTGCCATGAGCTTTCCTGAATGCCTTGGTCCATGGAGCTTTCCTTGGGTTTCTCTTCTTCTGAAATGCTTTGTGACATTTTGATCGACAGAATTTAAAAATCTGAAAGAAAAACAAGAAATATATCATTGAATGGAAACAAATCTTTCCACAAATACTTTTCTTCTTGCTTTTTATAAATAGGACAAAGAGGGTAAATCTACTACAGGCTGAGTTGAAATCAAATCTCTTTATACATTTCTCAAAAATAAATAAAACTTGGTTAATAGACCAATCTTGCAATCTCAGCAAATATCAATGGGGGAGTACTGGACTTTACCGGGCGCACTTTTTCAGATTAATTAGCGCTGCTGGGGTTCCCTAACCCTAACCCTAACCCTAACCCTAAGGATCGTAAAGGGTGCCTAACCCTAAACCCTAGCCCTAAGGATCGTAAAGTGTGGCATACCCTTACCCTAACCCTAAGGATCGTAAAGGGTGGCATGCCCTTACCCTAAACCTAAGGATCGTAAAGGGAGCAGCGAGGGCTGCGCCCGGTAAAGTGCATTCTAGCCATCAATGGGTTTGGGAGACTAAAAACGAAAAATCAAATTAAACTTTAGAAAGTATGTTTCTTATTGTGATGTTTGTCACAGTCAATATTAGAATTATGGGTTGTTGTTGTTGTTGTTGTTGTTAAGATAAAGCTGTCTTTTATGAGTTAGTGACATGTGTTATAGTTGTTCATGCAATTAAGGATTGTTTTAAGCAAAACACACAAGAGGAAGATACACAACACACAGATGTGCATCAGGAAATACACGTAATCGTCTTGATCTTAGTATTAATCAGCGCCCATTTCATTTGCACAAACTTCAAAGTTATGTATTTCATGACATCTGACATTCCCGGACTTTATCTTGTGTCTGGTGTTACAAACCTTACAATCGTTCCTTACAAACTGTATTCCGTGACCGGGATATACAGTAGAAGAGCAGTAATAACACTTTTCAAGACGCATCTTGATGTACACAACCCCTCGTGTTGCGTGTGTTGATGTAAAGGAAAGATTTGGGGTTAAGACGAATCTCTCTTCTGATTGGTTAAAATTCGAATAGCTGGCAAAGAAGAGTTATCTACCTTTGACCATAAGTGCCTGGAAGTGATCCGAACGCGAGAAGCCTCGCATTATGAAATATCCCTCATCGTTACCCCTCACTCGATGTGACGAGCCACTGACTAGTTATTAACTTTCTTCTGGTTATGATGTCCTTAAAGAAAACATCACAATAACATCGAAATGAAATTAATAAAACAGCTATTTTAATTTTGAACGAGGAGACTTCTAAGGATATACAACATCTTCATTTTTAATATGGTCGACGTAAAGAAGAATGATAAAGAGCTCTCCCCGTTGTTCAAAACACCAACTTCTAAATGGCACTCAAAGAAATTACTTTAATTTTGTAAAAATTAAATTAAAATGAAAATTAAACGTAAACTCGGGTACATCCAAAATGGCTTCAAGAATATTTTTTTATCACATCTGCATTCTGAACTAAGTCGCTTTGATGGACAGGTTGAGATTTAATATTGATCGTATGTTTGTAATTCCTTTATTATACATATCCTAATACGTCTAATGGTCTTGTCTCATTTCCATTCTCGATGGGCAAATCGGCTGGAGGGACCTGTCTAGTTGACCATTATAATTCATCATTAAGTATACATGTACATTATTTCCTCTGTGTGAATACTTGATAATTAAAGGTTACAATGGGACAATGTGTTGGGTTGGCAGTGTATGGCAAAACCAAAGCCTGGACTTCTTGCGTACGAGAAAAGTCCGCCCGGAGAGCGGAAGGTCGCGGGTTCGATCCCCGACCGCGTCGTACCAAAAGACGTTAAAATTTGGTACTTGTTGGTCCCTGCCTGGCGCTCGGCATTAATGGGTACAACAAGGACTGGTCGGCTCGGGAGTCAGTATAATGTGTCTGAGTGGGGTATTCATGCTTCACTGCGGTATGGTATCTCAGTGGGCTAGCACTATAAAACCAGCTTCAGTCTGGGCTGTTACAAGCAGCCGCACATACACATACACACGCATGCACGTCGTCATATGAGCGAAATATTCTCAAGCACGACGTAAAACCCAATTTCACCTCACCTCACCGTATGAGAACAACAGTCCCATAATCAACAACAAAAAACACAAGTACAATGGGACCAGCTGTGTGCTGCACGACCATTCCTATTGTCACCATTCCCAACATGATACAATACCAATACCACTATTTGCACGAACATAAACAACACTCACCTGCATATATATATATACAGTGTTACAATGGCTCCACAACAATGATACCGAGCACCCTATTGGGATTCTCCATCCCATGCAGCTGGACATGGATAAGTGATGAACAATGAAAACACTGCACACTATGATAATCACTCAAAATACAATGTTTAAAGAACATTCACCCATCCCCACGAATACTGTGACCCACACCATTCAGAACTCCCTCAACTATGCTCCTCATTCAAAACCAGCATATCCTTAAATGATATCAGTACATACATCCGAAACACATAGATCACATAAATAACAGAGAGCAAATACACATACATATACATGGCCAGAAATGGATAGTTATTTAATAACATAATCCATTAACCTTCAGCTCCTGCCTAGAAACATGTTGGCAGTGTAGCCCAAAACCAAACACTGGACTCCTAAACCATGATCTAAATTCCAACACATCTGATTGCAGTAGGAGAAAACCAATGATCCATTGAAGGGTATAGGCCCATTGCAGGTTGTTTATGCAGGTAAGTTAGTCCCTAAGGGGGTGTACATACACCGTCAGCCTGGATCGAGGCTTTGTCCTTCTTAACATGGGACCGTCCCATCTCCGGAGCATCTTGCATAGTCGCTGGGGATGTATGGGCGCATCGCTGCAATACAGACAACAAGGTTCCTGCGTCTGACAGAAATAAGTCATTGATCAGCTTCAGAAACCACCTTCTCACATATGTGTTACAGTGGGTGAGTATCGCGCGTTTAGCAACAATCAAGTAATATCACGACAAGGGATAAAAATGGCCGTCGCAACAATCGAAACTTCTAATTAATCAAAATATGCTGTTATGATTATGTGTACATTCTGTGACAACTGAGGTTCGTTTTAAGGCATCACCTGATCGTGGTTGCTGTAAATAACGATGGATTCGTGTGATCTGCGAATTACTTCACACAACAATTCGACGGAAATAGTGTTAAGTTCGAAAGATTTCAGTAAAAACTATAAAAACCTTGGTCAAAATGAACGACTTTGTCAGCAGTTAGTGAAATAACAGCACTGACATGCAATCACCTACACCCACCTATCTCTATATACGACTGTGTTCTTTGAGGAAAAGGGTTCACAAGACATCACCGTGAACAAGAATATTTCCGGTGTTTTCTTCAAAAGATTACGATTACACAATGCCATTTATAAAGTGGTCAAATGTAACTCATGTTATATTTGGGATTACACTTTCTCATTAAAGTGTAATGTACACAAAGTCTGCAGTCTAGACTACCAGTTGTCCGACTTCCATTTTTGTGGAAGTCGCGGTGGCTGAGCGGGTTAGGCGGATGACTTTGTGTGCTGGCAATTAGGTGCCTGACTTTGAGGGTGTGGGTTCGAATCCCGGACGGGACTCAACCAAAACAAATACTAGAATTTGTACTTTACTAAGAAAGTGTAATCCCAAATATAACATATACTAGTATATGTTACTTCAAAAGATTGTTTGAAAAACTTGCCTGCCTGGTCCTAGGTCGTCTTCTTGGTAGTCGCCCTGCCTCCAGAGGAGTTCTTGGTCCACTTCTGGCCTCAGACCACAATTATTTTCTTTCTTTGCTATCTACAGTGACATGCCAGTGCATCATAATTAATATCGGTCGTAGGCTGTTCTCCTGTTGCATGCTGACCAACCTGCCACTTGTCACTTAACCGGCAAAATATGGGCCTGGATCGACCATGTCAAATTTGCTGTATCCACTGTAAACAATGGTCACCGGAAGTTACGAGCCGAAGCACACTAGACAGCCTTAAAATTGGGGTCAAGTCATGGAAGGCTGGTGTCAATACTATGTGTAGATTGTGGACCCAAAAACATTTGCAATAAAGTACAATGTCTTACCTTTCATTTAAGCTATCACAAGTCACCCTGAAAAAATTAGCACACACAGAACAGCCCATTTAAACAAGGCACTAAATTCTCCTATTTTCCTTCTGGGGGTAACTGTGGTTTGAGGCCTTCTGCTCCCAGGTCGTCTTTCCCGGTAGGCCCATGACTCCAGCGGTCTTGCAGCCCCTTGCCTCGTTATCCCATCGTTCTTTGCTCCCATGGTCAGGATACAGCCAGTCGACCACGCCTCCTGATGACGACGGTGGACTGTGTCCTAAAAGTGAAGAATATTTCACATCGTTGATTGTTACTACACAGATTATATTGTGGAAAGCATATGATGGTCGTAAAAACAAGCTGTTTTGATTATTCATAAATTCTGTGTCAACTGATGTTTGTTTCTGGTAATATAGCTGTAATTTGAGATATGGTGCTGTAAATACTGATGCATTGGTGCGATCTGCTAATTACTTCACACAAGAATTCTACGGAAATAATGTTAGTTTTGAATAATTTCAGTAACGATATACGAACCATAGGTCAATATATACAATGGACACCTTTGTTAGCAGGTAGTTTAATAACAGCACTAACTTGCAATGGTTGGTTGGTTTGGTGTTTAAGGCTGCACTCAGCAATATTCGAGCTATATGGGGGCGGTCTGTAAATAATCGAGTCTGGACCAGACAAGCCAGTGATCAACAGCATGAGCATCGGTGTACGCAACTGACGATGGCATGTGTCAACCAAGTCAGCGAGTCTGACCACCCGATCCAGTTAGTCGCCTCTTACGACAAGCATGGGTTACTAAAGACCCTTGGTGAAAGTATTAAAAGAAGTACGCAGTCAGTGAGGTCTGCACCGGTGAAAATACTGACATGTTTGTGAGAAGGTCAAAATGCACCAATGTACAAACTAATAAGCTTATGGGAGTTGAGTTAAGTTGATTTGGGCTTTACGTCACATCGGCATTATTCCAGCCATAGCGACGAGAACAAGTCTGCATTAATAAGCATTGTAAGTACAGAGCTTATGGGGGTTAATATATAATTCCATCACGTACTTGAGAGTTCACGTTTCACCGAAATGTATACCAGTGTGTTTAACTACTGTAAATCTGTATTGCTCTTTAAGATTTATATAGTCCGGGGGAAGTCCTGGTAAAAAAGTTTAATAGACTAATAAAATGGTAATATTTTCACAAATAATCCATCGATATGGTGGTCGCGGTACCACCAGCTGAATCCCTCGAATTTTGTTTTTGTGTTGTGTGATACACGTGATTTTTCAGATGTGGGGTATCGCGCCGACAACTTGGACACACCGCTCAGGCATACTGTCATTTCTTATCATCATAATACCGGGGATCGGGCAGGGTAGTAAACTGTGCCATGTTTATAATACTAGGCGGATACGCCTTGCCCTCTCACATGACGTGATTAGATTACAGGACATCGATATCAAATGGAGAGGTCGTGCCTAGACTGACAGCTGGATGGTTTATTGGCCAAATATTTATCGACGTCTTGGACAATAATATGTACAATCTTTGTTGTATGTGGTTTTCTGTGACTTTATTTCTTTTTTCTTGGATACAGATATCACATGTTATTACAATTACATATTACATTTTGCTGGACAGTATGGATATCTGAAGTCAATGTGTTGTGATAAATACTTTCTGGATAGGTATACTATACAATACAGTATGATTATGTAAACGTTTCTCCACGATGACCAGATGGTCACAATTGTTTCGTAATCACATTCTGTTAATAAGACATATTTTTGCGTATGATAGAGATTTGCCGGGTATTTTAAGATACTTACAATGCATATATTTTTGTAATTAATGGACAAAGCCCCTTCCACAGTTACAATAAATATCTGGGGTAAGCAGACTGAAGCAATGAATTTTAGTATTACGCTCTTCTTCTTCTTCCTCTTCTTCTTCTGCTTCTTCTTCTTAAGTGTATGATTTCGACTTTACGATGAGCATGTGTCGGTGAATCACTATCAAATAGTGATGATACAAGGTATTCGCAAAACTATGAGCGTTTGTTACCTTTCATTGGCACACGTTACTTGCAAAGGCAAGTCAATTGTCGAAACGAAAAATAAACAATTCAAAATAGGTGCTTGCATCTGACGTAATCTTGTCAGTGAAACATTTGGAAACAAATTAAGCTGTTCCGATGAATACACCGTGCCATTTAGAAAGGTGTCAAATGTATTTGGGGATTGCACTTTCTTAGTAAAGTACAGATTCTAGTACTTTTGTTGGGTTGAGTCCCATCCGGGATTCGAAGTACATGTACTAGTATCTGTACCTTCCCGAGAAACGAGTACATTGAAATATATCAGGTCGTTGAATGGCATTTAGAAGTGCTAAAATACGCAAGTGTTTTATGAATGTCAACTTCTTAATTATGAGGAACACAACGTTTCTGAGAATATCCTTACTCCCCCCTTACTCCGCGGTGTTTACTCTCCTCCTTATTCAAAATATATCTTGAATGCGATGCAAGCCGCCTTAAATATCATTTATATAGTCAGTATTAATGAATATGCTAGTGTGACCTTTTAGGATATCATTAGGTAACCTTCCACGTGGACCGTTATCTTATGTTGTTATAGAGCACATGACGCCCTGCACCCAGTCTACCCAGTAGGTAGCAACACATGCCGCCATATTTCCCGGAACAGATAAGTAACCTGGGAGAGATAAGTTACCTTGGAGCGGCTGTGTACACCCGGGAAACATCAGACGGGTAGGTGTAAGATGTCGAGCTTCAAAATATCATTTTTGTGTGGTAGTTTGTGTATCCCATTTCCTCAGTACTGAAAGAGAGTGACGTAACTGACTGGGTCATGGCATGTGATTTCCGCCATATGGTGTCGATGACGGTCGGTGGTTGTGTTGTTATTTTTGCAAAGTCATGTCGAGGGAGATTAATACTGGATTTTTCATTGGTTCCCTGTGTGGAATTGGACACGGGCCCTCAGCGTACCCCGCCTCCTCAAGCCTTTCTCCAAGGAGGTTAACCATCTGGGAAACCCCATCCCTGTACTGACTGATTGATTGATTGAAGATGATGATGATGATAATGATGATGATGATGATGATAATGATGAGTGAGTGAGTGAGTATGGTTATACGCCGCTTTTAGTAATATACCAGCAACATCACGGCAGGGGAATGATGATAATGACGATGGTGATGATGATGATGGTGGCGGTGGTAATGATAATAATGGTGGTGGTAGTGATGATGATGATGATGATCTGATTATTTGATGATTACGTTTGAGGAAATATATTGGTTGGATGAATTATGGCTATGGTAATTGATAACGTTTCTCAAGCTTGTCCTAAAACCAGACAGAAACGAGGAATGAATCATTTTCATGTGTGAATGTTCAGTTGCTGATAATGTGTCATGGTGCCCCAATGGCGTGTCAATCATTGTGTCAATAAATGGTTTGTCTTGCCAAGATCAGAGTATTGTTGTATGATATCTACACCCTTTCTCCCCCGCACACGACGTTAAAACAACCCCAGACAGGTAGTTCATACGGCGACATTGGGAGAGTGAGGTAGCCTGGTGGTTTAAGCGCTCGCTCGTCACGCCGAAACCCGGGTTCGATTCCCCACATGCGTACAATGCGGATCCCATTTCTGGTGTCCCATGCGTGATATTGATTGAATATGGCTGAAAGCTCTGTAAAATCATACTCCTAACACATATACTTCCAAACTGCACAATGTCACGTAATTCTTATGTTGTGTCGTAGACGATGCCGCGCGAGGAAAGAACATGCTGTCGCTGGACGGTGACGCTGCTGCACATCCTAACGTGCCTTGTGGCTGGATTCTGTATCCTCAGCGTTCTCATAATGCGAGGACTTGAAGCTAACTGCTTACCCTCATTAACAGACAACGTGGGACATCAGGTCCATTATGTAAGTATGTACGCCTTCACAAGCAATGTTGGGGCGGTGGGGTAACCTAGAGGTTAAAGCGTTCGCTCGTCACGCCGAAGACCCGGTTTCGATTCCCCACATGGGTAGAATTTGTGAAGCCCATTTCTGGTGTCCCCGCCGTGATATTGCTGGAATATTGCTTAAAAGCGGCGTAAAACTAAACTCACTCACGAACAACGTGACTGCTGCTGAAATCTCTTAGATGAAACAGTACGTGTTAATATTCATATAAACAATTATGGTTGAGGTATTACTATTAAATCATTTAGATGTAGGAAAATAGCTAATAGTGGTTACATATTTCATGACAGTCATCGATACCGACTGTACAGGTATATCTGCAGTAGCTGTACCATATGACGTACGTTATAACCAGAGCAGCCTGGCGATAATAGTGTTGTTATAGTTGTTGTTCTAACTGGTGTCTTCTCGATATTTATACGCATATATTTATATTTTTCTACCCGTTCACGTTATGGAGCGATGCATTTATGTTGTGGACTATTCCTCTCAATATGTATCCGAAACATTCTGATTTGTCAGACTCGATGACTGATCGATGTCATTGTATACCATCTGTGTTTGAACTACTCTCATAATATCAATCACAGGTTAGTCTGGCCCAGTCTCGGTTATTTTGAAACCAGCGTGATATGAGTGGAATATTGCTTAAACAACAAACAAACCAGATACATTTTGCAACCCATTGAATTTTCTTGATGCTGTAAGCCACACCGGCTGTTCCATGCTCCAGTTGTTTGAGGATATGTAAAGGAAAACGCTGTTCATTAGTTCAGTGATGATGCTGTGTATAACATTGTCCTTTACCGCACCCCCAGGCCGACTCAGTCCTGGAGTTTTTCTGCAGCGTTGTCCTGTACGCTTGTGGTGCCGTGTCGGGGTGGAGCATCCTGTCTTTCTTCGCCCATTGTTGCTGGGAAAACAAGCTGTGAGTGTGTCCAGGGTCTAGATTTTCGATATACATGTATTTAAAAAGTGTTTTGATTCTGCTTTGTCACAAACATGTGCAAGTGTTTCCAAAACACCACAGATATTGTACCTAAGTACAACATTGCAAGTAAAATATTTATGGTTTTATTGGGAATAGTCTCAAAACACCAGGTGTGTACTTTCTGATGTTCGTCAGTATATATAGTTTATATAGTCGCCGCTTTAATTCATTTTCATGTTGTTGTTTTTATGTGTAGATGTTTTGCCCTGCAAACTGTGATATTCGTCATAGTCAGCGTTCTTGGATTAACAGGATCCGCTTCTCTGACAACACAGTTCTTGTTGTGGTGCAAGAACCTGCAAACAACGTTCCCAAACGCAACAGAGTATGTATATGAGACGTTTGTATCAGTACACTAAACCCACTCGATTATATTAAATTTCAAACTACGAGATCAAGCGGTAAGCTGATTCTGTTTCTAAACGTCACGTACATTCGTATTCAATATGCACCGTGGTCGGTAGGGTAGCCGAGTGGTTATTGCGTTCGCCCGACACAACAAAGTCCCGGGTTCTGTTACCCATTTATGGGTGCAGTGTGAGGTGCCCCTCCCTTACGTCCCGTGCGTTACATTGTTGAAATATTCCAAAACCGGAATCAAACTCAAACCCATTCACTCATCCATATCCATCTTAAAAGATCCACGGAAAAGAGATGATGGTTAAAGCGTTGGCTCGATTGATTTCCCATGGAAAGACCTGACAAAGGGCTTTCGAATAACATTCTAACCCAAACATGGGTGAAAGCGTTGGCTCGTGATCCCGGAGACCTGGGGTTCGATTCCCCACATGGGTACAATGTGTGAAACAGATTTCTGGTGTCCCCGCTCCTATGTTACTGGAATATCGCTAAAAGCGGCATAAAACTATACCCACTCCCAAACAATGATATTACTGTAGAGGTCACATTTGTGACTATTCAGAGCCAGCATTTTGTCTGTCAGCGCCTTGCCTGAACGAACGGCTTCATCAAAGTGTTAAACACCATCAGCATGCGTGTCGTTCCGTTTTCACCCCACATTAAGCTGGGGCGAGTGGTAGCCCAGTGGATAAAGCGTTCGCTCGTCACGAAGGCCCGTGTTCGATTCCCCACATTGGTACAATGTGTGTCCCCCGCTGGATGATTTTGTGGCGAGAATTTGCTGGAATATTGCTGAAAGCGCTTTCTCACTCACTCACTCACTCACTCACATAAGCTAAGAAGCCGTGATGCAACCGATCTGTTCACACACCGTTCCTACAACTGAGCCCAATCACTCAATGCTTTCTTTCCACACGTCATATAAAAATAGTTCATCCTTTTCACGCATGCACATCGTCATATGAGCGAAATATTCTTAAGTGCGACGTTGAACCCAATTTCTCCTCACCTTTCATCCTTTTAATATTGATTCCACTCTTGCAGTAATGGTCCCACGCTAGTGGTAATAGTTTCACACGCCCAAGCTCAGATGTACTTCAGGCGCCATTATTTACGACATGCATTGTTCTGGATACAACTATTATAAAACCCCAAAATCGGTATGGCCCAGATACTTGATAACATTTATGCATACTTTGTTTCAGTTGTGAGGCGGCAGCTAAATTTTATGACAAAAACTTGGCATATGAGAAGCTGAACATGACGATGTATTACAGAACGGAGATTATACAACAGGTTAGTTCTGTAACACACTGTAACACACTGTAACGAAAGGGACATTATGAAGCTCTGTTGTACTTGTCCTCAGACAGCTGGACGCCCGCCTTTTTGAAGCAAATGATGTCAAACGCAACGACAAAATCTAAAATACTCACAGTAATGAATGAGGGATAATAAGTATATATTTTGGGGCCCTCTGATGTCATGGACTGTTTATTTGGGAGATGTAACAATGACCAAAAATGGTGAAGCATTAAATGCAGGGTAAATTTAGGAGAACAGAAAATCCTGTTGTATGTTATCGACCATCTTGGAAGAACAACTGTTCCCAATTATGAAGTAAATATGTTTTTAGCCTTTTAGATCCTAGTGGGAATAATGGGGAAAAAACATCACAGAAAAAACAGATGCAGAAGAAAAAACAAATGCAGAAAGAAAAAAACATCAGCTGCAGAAAAAACATCAGAAAAGAAAAAGTAGAACAGAAAATCTCAGTGTTGAAGTTTACCAAAACGTGTAGAGGGACATAACGTTACTCAGTTCTTTCGAACATCGTTAATCGTATTCGTGGTAATCAATACACGAGTGTCACGTCATGCTTCCAGAGTTGTACCTGGACCATCAGTTTCCTGTGCATGATCCTGGCGTTCATCTACATCAGCCTCCTGTGCATCTCGGCAGAACGACAAAACGACAGAACACGTGTGATCTACGTCAGAAACGGCGAGGAACAGCCCCTCATACCACTCCCAGGTGAAAGGGACAGTTATCCATAGACATTGCAGCGGATTGCTAACAAGTGACGTATGTCATACAACAAGTGCTAACAAGTGATGGATGTCATACAACAAGTGCTAACAAGTGATGTATGTCATACAACAAGTGCCAACATGTGATGTATGTCATATAATGACAACCCTTGTAGATGTCGTCTATGTCCGGTTACAGATTTTTGTTACTTGTGTTATAATGGAGGGCAAGGTTGAAAACATGCTCGTCTTTCAGTGAATGTCCCTTTGTAAATTGTAATGACCACTGTCATACCTTGATTTTATATGTTCTTGTAATAATCTACAATAGTGATGATAGATTCTACTTCATGGTCTGGCCTGAGCTTCCAGTCGGCTAAGGCGCCGTAATTTGAGGTGCAAAATTGCGTTCCTGGGATTGCCAAAACCTACAGAATGGTTTGGTAACCAGGTTCCTTCAAATTATGTGTCTGGGATGTTCAGCACCAAACTTCAGCACGTGGGTTTCGCCAAAGCGGTAAAAGTGTGAGACGAGCATCACTTTATCATCACAGCATCACTCCAGTATTAAATGGACCCGCCGTAATGGAACTGAAATACTGTTCAAAGCGGCATTAAACCCCCAAAACCCACTCACGTTACACAAGTAAAGGTTTGGTGTCCAACTGTGCATTCGTTCGCATGCACGATACTATCTGTAAGTACGTGCGCATGAAGTGCATTTTATGGTTAGCTTCTAGAAGGCGTATCATGTAGGCCACAGTAGTCTGTGATACTCTACTTTACCAACAATGTGTTTTGCTGTACATAAAGAGATGCCTGCCAATGATTACTCGCAGCATAGCCTGCTTAGGTCGGAAATAGTTACTTGGTTACGGTGACCCTTCCTTGCTTCATTCTGGCGAAAGCCTGGATCCCTTTTCACAAAGCTATCGTAGCTCTGGATCTACGACTGTCGTACTTCCTGTACTGTAACATATATAAGATTTACACAGTCGTAGTGTTACGATAGCTTTGTGTAAGACTGGTTACTTTCTGGCGTTGACGTTTATATTTTTAGGCATAGTGGAAATTATTGTGAATTGGATTATTTGTAAATACTGCAGGTCATCACATTGTGATTTTAACAATATGCTGAATGGTCGCTTGATCCGTTACGTAGACATACAATCCACGATTTATAACCACGATATCTTTCCTAAAAGGTACATCAGATCTTTGTCCTTTAAACCTTGATGTGCCCTGGTACTTGGTACTTGGCGAAATGATAACCGATCATTCTTAAACAAATGATGTATCGTTCTCTTCTCATATATCAGTCTGACATAATGCTTCCATATTGTCAATCATTTCACTGATATATATGTCTCATGGTTTCCATATCATGGGAGTTCTGTGATGCTTCTTCGTAATAAACTAATCACAAATTCCAACCAACGTTTACATATGTTGGGGGAGGGGCATTAAGAAGCACTAGTAAGCAAGATTACAGAGAATGGATTACAGAGTTTGTTTGTTTAACGCCATACTCGGCCATTTTCCAGCTCTATTACGGCGGTCTGTAAATAATCGAGTCTGGATCAGACAATCCAGTGATCGACATCATGAGCATCGATGTACGTAATAGAGAGACAATGACATGTATCAGCCAAATTAGCAAGGCTGACACCTGATCACGGGTTTGGGTAGGAAGAGTCGCCTGGTGCGACCACAAGCGTGATTGCGTTACTGAAGATCAATTCTGGTTTTATTGAAATCTTTACAGGTCGCAGACACTCACCAATGACGTGATCTCGCACATAGACTCAACACACATCAACAAATATTTTGTTTTGTATTTTTCTATTTCCTTGTTCTCCATTAAACTCACAGAGATATAGTCATTCCAGTCTGAGCAATGTAGAGCTAGCCTTGTTACAGATTCATTGTTTGACTTTCGGGGAAGTGGAGCTGGGATTTAAAGAACAACAAACTAATTAAATTAAAGGAAGGTTAACTTTGTCTAAGGCTGTACCCAAACACATAGATCACTGAAGACACTAGGTCTATTGAAAAATGTACGTTTTTATGCAGCGACCGATAAAATATCTCTATAAAAATTAATCCCTTCCTTACGAGAATGACCGGTCACTCGCTGTCCGTGGGAAGGTCTCTCCCACGTGTTCATACGACAGTATTTATTCGCAGTGCGGCGACAGCCGGTATTCACCCCAGCTTCCTTCCCCTCCGCTTCATTCCCAGTGACCGACAGCACACAACCTGGCACAGGCCCGTTACTGAAGGTCAACGATGACACATCAGCCATGTGAATGTGAAATACTTCACAATGCAATGATACGGATATGAGAAAATCCGATTATAGACTAACTCGCGAAAACCATCCCATTACCGAACAAATTTGGAAGTAAGATACAAATTATATATGGGACTACCAGGCGGCTGTGCACTCCAACATCCGTCCTCGTGATTAAACATCCGTGAAATGTACACTTAAATGTCTTCTTAAATATATTCAGAGATACGAGTATCTGCAAAGGAAAAAAATCAGAAATCAGTATGTACATTTGATATATGACCATGCTACAAGAACGAGCATGACCATTAGCAATATATATACATGTGGAAAGGTGTCGCAACACCTATTATTTTTAACCCATACAGCCATTTATATTCCTGTCATAATTATGTTTGTTCGCATGATTAGTTTGATCCTTCTGATGCTTCACATGCTGATTTTAGATCACAGGCGAGCATCACGTGCAATACATGTACCCATCATTAAGCAACTATCCAGTTGCAGTCAAATAAAACAGCTCGAAAACTTGGGACATCGCTATATGTCGTTTGTAAATAAGCAAATACGGGGCCTCCTCAAATGACAACTGCTCAATGATGGCAGGTTATTGGTATGCAGAATGCTGGCATTTTAAAGAGAGGCATTGGCGGATCCAGAGGGGGGGTACGAACCCCCCTTTTGAAAATAACTTGAAGATTGTTTTTGCGTAGCTGAAGCAAAGGAGAGGGGGGGGGGGGTCCGAACCCCCTGAAAAACACACACACACACACACACACACACACTTCAAAATAAATTCCTGGATCCGCCCATGAGAGGTATTGCAAGAGATATAGGTTGTCAGCCACCGACTATCGGCCGATTGGCCAGAAAATATACGCAAGCTAATAACGTTATTGTTCAGGTCCAGAAGTTACAACTCCGATGGAGGATACAACCTTTGTCAGGGTTTTGTTGTACCGCATTTCAATGGACGACGGTGTTAGGCCACACCTTGACTGTGAATTTGTACGCCATGAGGAGGTAGCAGCTCTATGTTGACCCGCCAGATCCCAACTCCCTGGAGCATGTTTGGGACAATATGGGTCACAAGATACGCCAGAGAGAAATGACTGACTGACTGACTGAGTTTAGTTTTACGCCGCTTTTAGCAATATTCCAGCAATATCACTGCGGGGGACACCAGAAATGGGTTTCACACATTGTGCCCATGTGGGGAATCGAACCCGGGTCTTCGGCGTAAGGAGCCAACGCTTTAATTACTAGGCTACCCCACCGCCCCCCAGAGAGAAATGATGTATTGGAACAAGCTCCCCATGAAGAATGTAACAAAATTTATAAATACTTCAAGATCAAATTCAACATCTGATGCAGTCATAGCGGAGGAGGGATGCTATTTCAAATATGTGTGTGTGCGTGCGTGCGTGCGTGCGTGCGTGCGTGCGTGCGTGCGTGCGTGCGTGCGTGCGTGTGTGTGTGTGCGTATGCGATTTCTTTGATAATTATATGCCGGTATTTTAAAAAAGACATCACTTTGCACCACCATAGTTAATAGCACTGCAAGATGGGTCATTTCTTTTGCAACGTTTGCTTATCTGTATAAACTACACTTTTTAGTTCTTTGGGCGTTTACGAGATTTACCATTTAAGTATTCCTTAAGTGTCAATTTATCCAGCGAGTATATAAAACCGAGGTTTGTATACGTTCCTTTGCTATGATGAATGGTCCAAATGTAAAATGTTGGTTTGGTGCGATACTTCTTTTCATGTGTGTATAAGTATACAAAACCAAGGTCTTCAAGAGTTGTCATGTTTTAGGGTCGATGCGTTCTTGTAATTAATTCTCATCGTATCTGTAACACTTTAACTGGTGAAGTCGTCCTTGAAACCAAATGACATTCACAGATTGCCGAAATAACATAAACTCAGCAACTGCGTCACACATTAGCACGGGACTTCAAAGAGCTTTCGTGTTTCGACGCCAAATGCACGACCCTGTGCCGAAAATGATGACCTTATCTAAAAATCAGTGCTTAGACGTCATGTTGTAAATGTTAACACATGGCGGGAAACTGATAGTAAAACCAACAATGTTCTCTTTTTATGATAGCCCTAATTTACGCCTCCCCCTCGTATGCGTAAATAACCTTCCACTAATGAACATTAGAGTTCGGCCGCTTAATGACTTTACGACCCAGGCACATCCGCTCCCATTTTCCGCAACCCTCTGTACATGTCTGGGGCCCATCTCCCACCACTCAGTGTGATTCACGAGTTTCGGAAAGGAAAACGTGGGTCGTACTTTGCTGTGGCATTGTGCAGCAGTATATATTGACCGGAGTCAATCTGAACATAGCCCGTGGGATTTTAGTGATTGCTGCTCAATGCAGAACTGTGGAGAAAAGATTTTCCCCAAAATTGGAGCGTGAACCACAGCTCGAATCATGCATATGGGGAAAGGCCGTTTCACGTGAATATTTGAACCAGTATCCAAGGGAGACCACTGCTGCTCTTTCCGAAGAATATTCATAAGAAACAGATATTTGGTATTCTCTGGTAATTGGTTCTAACGGTTCCATAAATCCTGCAAATGGTGTGTAATGCAAGAGAGTACCGCTGCTGTTTACACACCGTCGGTGCTGTTACAGATATAAACATCTGCACATATCATGCCAAGGCTCGCTGGGAGTGACATCACGTTGATATGAACGATAGTGGGAAGATTTTGGAATAACACGTTTTCTTTGACTGGTTAAGTAGACATCCAACAATCAAAGATACAAAGATGGCTTCCACCGGTGTGATAGTATCTGTGTGTATGTGCATCATTGTTGGAACACTGGAATTTTCTAGAGTCACCCTAGGTAAGTGTACATCGATCGTTATTTAATGTTCACTGTCATTTGATAAAACTATCAAAAACGTATGCTAAAACGTATTCGAAAGCGTATAATAATACGTATTCGATAATCAACAGACCATATTAAAAAGCCACGATTGCTAAACAGTTCTACATTTTGTGGTAATTTTTTACATAGTTTTGAACATATAAATATGCTTATGATACTATGTAATAGTACGGTGACATGTTCGCAAGATATGGGTTACAGGTTCGTGTGGTTTTTAAGCTATACCACCTGTTTTAAGGGACCCATCATTCCAAATACATGTAGTCAGACAATTTTAGAGTTCTATAACTAGTTTTATACAAATCTGTATATATTGCTATTCGTTATTCCTGTCCATCGATGGCATTTTTAAAAAAAAACAATTATGTATAATGTATAAATGTGTCACTTTATCCAATCACAATATGGCTGAAATACCGTCTCACTCCCAGATGGTCAAATCGGTTCATCTCTTTATCATACGAGGAATTGTTTTCAATTAACACGTCTCCAGACGCCATTTTGAATTGCGTAAATATTCTAAGATACAGGCATGAATTACGATGTGAGAGATTTTACAACAAACAATCTTTTAATCTATGTGTATACACACTCATACGTAACTATCAGCTGGAGTAGAAACACACGGAGGAACCTGTGTAACGCTCGAGAGTTATCGCCTCAACTGAAAAGGAACGGGAAACGATGCACAAGCAAGGAAGATAAACGCTTAGTGGAGTGAATTACCAGTGTAGACATGGAAGCTCATTAGATAACGTATAAACAGTTAAACACACACGGGCCCGTAGGTTAACAATTAAGCATCGGAGAGCATGTAGTGCTAACGCTCTGTATAGTTCATGAAGTAAACACCTATATAAACGATTAGTAGTTTTAAGAAGCTTTTTTTTCTCACGGCCTTTTTGTATAAACAATAACGTTGGTGGTCAAAATTGAACATATTTCTGTAAATGGTCCTTTTCGGGTTGTCTCCATTTCTTCTCTCTTATAAATGATATTCATGGGAGACGAACGACATAGATGTATGGGTCATAGCTATTCTTCAAACATTTATGTAATTATTTACCGACGATGTGGTGTTAGTACAGCATTAGGTTGGCAGATGAGTTCGATTAGGTTTCCAAAATATTGTTTTAAATCACAAATAAAAGCAAATATGGAAAAGACTAAATTAATAGTATTTATAAAACCGCGTGTCTCGTGTTTAGGAAATAGGAAATGGTCTCCTTGATGGAGAAAGCTTTGTATCTCAATATAAGTATGTTGGTATCCATTTCAAGCTCGCGAATCGTAGCAAGACAGTTCTCTCAGATCAGGCTCTGAAGGCTTTCAGAATTTACCTGTCTGATATGTACATTTATATAATTATATAAATCTGCCGTACGCAATTTTATTTCACACATATAATTCAAGGTTTGACAGTTTTAATGTGTAGGACTGGAGTTTGGCGCCATGACTACTTTTATCCAGTATTCATAACAGTTTGTGTAGGGTATTTTGCACTTGGGTAGAACTGCACCTAATAAAGTATCTAGGGATGAGTTGGGGGTGTCCTCCCATTTGTGAGAACTCCCAGTTGGGAGACACATTAATTAATGGTTCAGTGCACACAGGTGGTGCTTCCCCATCCCTACGATGAAAGTGGGAACAGCCCTGTTGCTGAAGAGTACCCGCAGGAGGCATAGTTCATTAATGAGTTAGTTAACACAGAAGACATTGTTCGTTGAAGAGCATTTATTGTTTTCTATAGCTACTGAAATACTGAAAAAGATTATCGTGAACTGGTGATATATTCTACTTCTTGACGGCCTGCCATAATGGTGATCGGAAAGAGCAGTCAAAGGTTAATAAATACATTTGGATTAATTATAGTTACAACAGTTATTGCTAGATTTTTCAAACACGTAAACTGAGTAGGTAAATTAATTTCTCTTTCAAATGATCACGAAGTTACCTACACAAAGTGTTTATTTTTTAAAGCCATTTATCTGAGTAGGTGAATTACTATATCTTTTAGAGTTTCATTAAGTTACCTCCACAAGATTCAGTTAAATAGCTAAATGCATAATTAGCTGGGGTTAATCCATTCTATCAGATAGGGGAGTAAGGTGTGTTTTCTTTGCTAATTACCTACTCCACTGTCTCACAACTGGGAGTCTCACAACTGGGAGTTCTCACAAATGGGAGTAGACCGAGTTGGGTCTTATCTCTATTTGGGTTAACCAGCACTTTATGATAATGAAGTAATGGGTAATGTTCGCATTACTCAAATGAGCAAACCCGATCGCGTTAGTAGCCTCTTACGACAAGCATGGGTTGCTGAATTCTGTCCCGGAACTTGGTAGTAGAGATAGTAGTGGTGGGAAGAGTGGAGTTGATATAAGGATTGGTCGTGTACTAGTCATCAGTATCAAGCGTATCTCGAAATAGTCTCACGCTGGTTGATTGATAAATAGAGTTTAAGAGTGGCTAGTCAGCCTTGAGGACGCCCCCGCCCTGGAAGAACTGTCAGCAACAGCAGGGAGCATCTGTATTCCAGAATACAAACTATGTGATGAATTTTGTTTTGGGAGATACGTAAATTCAAGAACAATAAATGCAGATTCAAACTGAAGATGGGGCGGTGGGGTAGCCTACGCGTTAAAGCGTTCCCCCGTCACGCCAAAGATCCGGGTTCGATTCCCCACATGGGTACAATGTGTGAAGCCCATTTGTGGTGTCCCCCGCCGTTATATTGCTGGAATATTGCTAAAAGCGGCGTAAAACTAAACTCACTCACTCACTCACCCAAACTGAAGATAATCATGACCACCTTTTCAATATTCTAATAAAACTTTTCGCCAAACGCAACAAATGTGGATACATTCATCATGTGACTGTTGGTTTTTCACTCGTTCTTTCAGCTGCTAAAATCCCGAATGTCGACGCTCCCCAGCTCAACATCACCTACTACATAGGGAACGACGCCGAGCTGCATTGCACCGTCTCTAACCTGGGCAGGAATACGGTAAGAGTAACGTTGGGTTAAATGTTGCAACGTCAGTTAAACATATACTGTTGTGGTCAGTTTGGTAGTGGGGTGGCACTTGTCCTGCAGTAGATAGTAAATATTCAAGGTCAGCAGTTTTCCTGCAGTGAACAGTGAATAGATAGAGATGTGATCCTCTTTAGTGGCATTTCTCATGTAGTAAACAGTGAATAGGTAGACGGTGATTGTCCAGGGTGGCATTTCTCAGGTAATAAACAGTAGATAGACACAGAAAAGAGTCTAGAGTAGCATTTCTCAAGCAGTAAACAGAGGATAGGTACAGAGTTAACCGTCTAGAATAACATTTTATCAAGCCGCAAACAGTGAATAGGTACGGAGTTGACCGTCTAGAATAGCATTTCTCAAGCAGTGAATAGGTACGGAGTTGACCGTCTTGAATAGCATTTCTCAAGAAGTAAACAGTGAATAGGTACAGAGTTGAACGTCTAGAGTAGCATTTCTCAAGCAGTGAATAGGTACGGAGTTGACCGTCTTGAATAGCATTTCTCAAGCAGTAAACAGTGAGTAGGTACAGAGTTGAACGTCTAGAGTAGCATTTCTCAAGCAGTAAACAGTGAATAGGTACGGGTTTCATAATCTAGAGCAGCATTACCCATGTTATAAACAGTGATCAGATAAAGAGCTACAGAGAGACGTTTCTCATGTAGTAATAGTGAACAGAGTTGATCGACTAGAATAACATTTCTCATGTAGTAATAGTGAATACGTAGAAGGTGATCGTCAGGTTAGCAGCTTCACTGTATTAAATAGTGAATGCATGATCGGGTGAATGTTTAGTATGGTTATTTTCCAAAAGCAAATAGTGAATAAGTAACAGGGTGATTGTCCAAAGCGTCGATATTTCTGTAGTAAATAGTGAATATATACTTGGGTGTAAATTAGTGAATAGATACTGGGGTGTAAACTAGTGAATAGATACTTGGGTGTAAATTAGTGAATAGATACTGGGGTGTGAATTAGTGAATATATACTGGGGCGTAAACTAGTGAATATATACTGGGGGTGTATATTCGGCATAGCAATATTCCTGCAGTAAATAGTGAACAGAGTGGTGATTGAGTTGTGATTGCCTACTAGTATAACCAGTTGTTATTGTAAACAGTGAATATCGTGAGGGAAATAGTCTAGGGTGTAAATCGCCCTATAATATTTGAGCGTATAAAGAATTGTCATTGTTGGCAGCCATCCAACAGTATAAAGTAATGACAGAGGGAGGTAATTGTCCAATAAGACATTTGTCTATAGTAGATCCATAAAGACTTGACTGCCCCGACCATCTCACTATGATGTCTCCGTCCGTGCTGCAGGTGACGTGGAGGAAGCTGTTCGACCCAGTACCCATCTCTGTAGGAACAGCTAAGTTTACGCCGTCCAAGAAGTACCGGGTTGTTCACGACGCTGCCACCAAGAGGTGGACACTGTACATCAGAAAACTGGACACGTCGGACGCCGGGGAGTACGAGTGTCGAGTCACTGGACACGATGAATTGTCGCAGACTCTTACAATCATTATGCCAGGTGGGTGCCTTTGGAGACGGCGATGGTGCTGGTCGTTGTTTGTTTGGAAGATTTAATTACCTTGCAGGGTGTATTGGCGCTCTCTGGTGTTTTGGGGTTTTCTGAGGAGTTGCTTTTTTATGATTTGGTTTTCCTTTCGTTTTGTTTTGTTTGTTGAACGCCACACTCAGCAAAATTCCAGTTACATTGTATATGGCGTTGGTATGATATAATCGAGTCTGGATCAGACAATCCAGTGATTGAAGTTATGAGCATCGATCTATATCGTTGGGGTACGATATGACACCGTCAACATAAGTTACCAGACCCATTCAGTCGCCTCTTACGTCACCTCTTACAACCCGCATAGTGCCCGTTCCACAAAGTCATCGTAACAATAAGGTGATAGCATTGCGATCGCTTTGTTGAACGGTGTCTGGTGACGATGCTAGAATTCCTATAGGTGATGTTGTTCCAGCGATTGTTGGCTATGTACGTATATATGTAGCATGGGGACCCCAAATCATATCGATCCCAGTATGTCGTTTTCAAGTTCACAAGTTGAGACTCTGGTTGACAGCCACCGTAATGTGATTACAACAACCACACTTACTGATTTAATTTGCACCCCTTGATTTATATATCATTTTAAGAGGATTATGAATATATTTGAATCATGTCCTGAATCAGGCAACTTGGACTTCGGGGTAACGGGTTTTCTGGTTGAATGACTCCCACATACTTACGTTAACGTCCGTACCTGTTTCTAGGGAACGGCGACACCCACATCGGGGCTACAGAGAGTATCCTGAAAGTAGACGTTGGACAGACGGTGCTGATGCCATGCAATGTTAAAAACCTCAAGAAACACAAGGTGAGACAACGGTTTCTACATAAGAAATACTATCTACGTATTCCACCAAAACTACCCGAGTCCATTTATGTGATTCGAACCACGGACCAAGCTCACAGGACTTGCCCACATGGCCAAGGAAGTTAAGCCGTCGGCAACCTGACAAGGTAATGAAGTCATCTTATTGTGGATGACTGAAATCCCTGATCCATACGCATTACGTACTAGCATTTCGAGCCTACATTTAAATAATCTTGCTTGTTGGCATTTTATATACTTACAGGGGCGGTACCCTAGTGGTTAAATCGTTCGCTCGTCATGCCGAAGACCCGGGTTCGATTCCCCACATGTACAATGTGTGAAGCACCTTTCTGGTGTTCCCCGCCGTAATATTGATGGAATATCGCTTAAAGCGGCGTAAAACCATACTCACTCACTCTCTCTAAACTTACAATTTGTTTCTGTCTACACCACATTTTGATGTTTAACTCTCAAAGTTCAACATGGCGTTAAAGTCCTTCTCATTAAGGTGTCCTTTTGGTATGTTTGATATGAGTAATATAATTGACACATTCTGAAACGAAAATATTGAAACCTTGAAATCATTTGCATTGTCATGCGGATCGAAATGTATTATGATCATTGAAATATTCACGTTGATAATAGTTTAGCAAACGTATTGAAAAAACATAATATGCATTAAATATAGTCATATAAATATGGTGGAGGTATTTCCAACATACATTTCAAAGAGACTAGGAGAGGTTTCTGATGTGTGATGTATCTGTACAAGAGGGGCGGTGGGGTAGCTTAGTGGTTAAAGCGTTCGATCGTCACGCCGAAGGCCCGGGTTCGATTCCCCACATGGGCACAATGTGCGAAGCCCATTTCTTGTGTCCCCCGCAGTGATGTTGCTGGAATATTGCTAACAGCGGCGTAAAAACATACTCACCCTGAAGCGTCAGGTATGCTATTGCCTCGACTGTACATAGACACACGCACTAGTCATCAATATACAGTAAACGGTATCCTGTTGTCAGAAAATATATCAGTAGCTAATGTGGGTTGTGTTTGAAAACAAATAACCAGATGTTGGTGTTTATAATACTGCAGCAGGAAAAACACACCACTGTGACTGGATGATTATTTTTGTAACTTAGAAGTAGAATATAATGAGGTATATCAGGGGTGATTAGCAGTTGGGTCCCGGGTTAAGTTTAGGTTGTATGTATGGTGGCCTCTTTAAACTCTAGTTAACACTGGTAATGCTCGAATACCAACTTACACCCTGGCAATCAACATTGTCGGCAGAATACCGACATGATCAATGTCGGAGACGCATGTCAGATCAAATGGACGTTTTCTCCGAAGAGTTACCTCCCTTCCATTACGGCGCGTAAGGAGAACTTCAGAAGGAGAATGTAAGTTTTTCAACAATTGATTGTCAATAAAATCTAATCACTCCAGTATTCGCAAAGAACTCGTGTTGAAACTATGTGGAACTATTTACAAGCGTAAATAGGATAAATGAGTAATATGAGTGTTATTGTCCACTGATAGTGATTGTTCGGCTTCTGAAGATACTATATACACCGGTACCAGAATATGATCTCTGGTTGTAATGTGATTCGTGAATAGGTTAAAACCTTAGGTTAAACTACATCCGTGATACCGTAAAACCAACCTGATTTAACATAAGTATTTCTGTCAATACAAAGCAAACGCTGCAATATGTAGATGAATTTGTTATAAGAATTGTGGTAGAGTCTGTAGAAATATGGGTGAGCAAAATGTTAGTATTTTCATAAAGCGACTTCCTTCGTTGTGTGTTGAATAGTGCGTGAGTTGAACAGGTTCGATCCGTTGGTAGTGTCATATGGTACTTGTCGTTACCTAGCCTAGGTGTGAGTGAGTTTTGTTTTACGCCTCATTTGCAATATCCCAACAATATCTCCACTTTGTACCCATGTTGGGAATCGAACTTTTTAGGTCTTCGGCGTGACATAGACAAAGCGTTTGCTCGTCACAACGAAGACCCGGGTCCAACATGGGTACAATTTGTTAAGACCATTTCTGGTGTCCCCGCTGAGATAGTGCTAGAATATTGCTAAAAGCAATATGACTGTGAACGAAACATCGGGTTTATTGTAAATCAGCTTTTATATGTCGGGAATTTGAACCATGATTGACGGAAATATAATCCGGAAACTGACAGTCTCCCAACTTTGTTACACAGGTGTTGTGGGTAGGGGAGCGAGGTGGAGTGTTGGCGTTTCGGAAGAAGGTCCTCTCCAGTGACAGCCGTCTCCGGATCCAGCACAACACGCGGGAAGAATGGAGTCTTCGTATCAGGAACGTCAGGGACAGCGACTTCGGCACATATACATGCATCGTCAACACCAACCCAGTCCTCACTCGCACCTTCACACTAAGAAGCAAAGGTACGATTTTGTTTGTTTATTTGTTGTTTAACGCCGCACTCAGCTCTTTCCCAACTATATGACGGCGGTCTGTAAATAATCGAGTCTGGACCAGACAGTCCAGTGATCAACAGCATGAACATCGATCTGCGCAATTGGGATGCGATGAATTGTGTCAACCAAGTCGGCGAGCCTGACTACCCGCCTCTTACGACAAGATCTCTTACGAATCGTCATGTGTAAGCAAAGGTACAACCAGAACATAGCGTAATAGGGCAGATGTGTCGGTTCGTCAGAATTATGGTCCGGGTTCGATTCTACCATGTCTACGGATGCCTCTCGCAGTGATATTGCTGGAAAACTGTTGAAGCGGTGTAAACTCCAAATCACTCACTCACTGGAACTATACATACATGTATACCTAGCCTGACATCGTACCCGTGTGGTCAATGGTCAGTCTGTTTCATGTCCGATCATGAAAGATACCAGCTCACTGCTCTGCTGGTTTAACACCGCCAACTCACGTACCCATGCAGCCATTCCCTCTTTAGCACGCCCTGTCACTCTATGCTATGACGCATTTAGTATACCTTATCGTCTTGAAGTAATCATGCAGTGTTTAGTACTGACTATGTAGGGTACACATGGGACCAGTGGTTTCAGTAAACAATATATTTGACAGAATTGCACCCTTTACCTGGATAGGATTCGCTGATATTAGTTTCGAAAATTATTTATTACCTTTTGTCTTTGTGCAACCATAACTCTCGCAGCTTTACGCCAAGATGGTGATCTTGCCATTACTATGCCTCTTGGATTACATTGCCCTCATACTGTTCAACACTGGCGCAAACCTGAAACACGCTCCTCAACAGATGTTACATCTGATACACCGACAAATACATTGTCTGAACTGTCCCAGCCTTGAAACGTCAACTTCTAACGATGATTTTATGAACGTTTCTTCCAGGTCCTCAAAGGCAAGCCCCCGTACTCATCACGACAAACCACATCAGTGTGGTGAATGTCAAGGAAGGCAGCCCCGCGACCTTGGTCTGCAACTTCAGGGGTTACCCTGCCCCCAAGGTCAGCTGGAGTGCACGTGTTATGATTGCTGGCAAGAAAGTCAAGAAAAGTAAGCAAAGGCAAAAACACATGCTAATACATCAATACAACCATAAAAAACGATTTCTTTCGTAACTAATAAAATTATGTCAGCTAAACAGCTTGTCTTGACGTAAGCATGCCCTCGCCATGCCCTCGCCATGCCCTCGCGGTGCGGTAACAGTACGGTTACCAAGAGTTTACTTCCCCTAGACTAACGCTTAGTCTCTGAATGTATATTATTTTGACAGTGAGTGAGTGAGTTTAGTTTTGCGCCGCTTTTAGCAATATTCCAGCAATATCACTGCGGGGGACACCAGAAATGGGCTACACACATTGTACCCATGTGGGGAATCGAAACTTGGTCTTTGGCGTGACGAGCGAACGCTTTAACCACTAGGCTACCCACCGCCCCTTATTTTGGTAGTAAAATAATAAGCCCATTTAAATGGAAAAGGAGCCCCAGTGAGATGGGAAATTTAGAACCTGAAGAAATCGAGACTTGCTTCATTTAGGGATTTAGCATTGAAAGGAGGGCTAGGCAACAGGGAAAATAATGTGGTTCAGGGACTGAGGGGCAGTCTATACTTTACATTGTATGTAATCTTTTCCTTCTCCACAGATCTGGAAGGGCGTGGTACAATGCATAAGATTGCAAGTGCTAGACCAGAAGACAGTGGCAACTACACATGCACAGGTCGGAACGGCGTCTACCCCTCCGGCAGAGGCAGGGTCATGTTGGTCGTGGAAGGTGGGTAGTTGTATATTTATCATGAAAATATGCCTTGATGCCGGGAACGAAGTGATATACCCACACAATTACCAAAGTATGAGAACGTTACACTTACATCCTTTATACACAGTTCATTTTTGTGTTCTACTTTTATTCAAATGCTCAGCATAGATATATAGACTACTTAATTCTAATATGATTATATGCAAAAAGTTAACAGTCATGGGGTGGAACTAAAAGTTACAATTTGCCAACAGAATTGTCTAAAGTCCCTTCTTAATTTGTCACAGAATATCTGAGTACTACGACCGCTGTTAGCTATATACATAAGGGGCTGCGCGGTTAGTTACAAAATGGACGGAGTGAATCATAACAGATTATTCTCGGTCTTGACAATGGTTTCCTCCCATACTTTAACAAAGACGAACCACTGTCGTAGCGCTACGATCGCTTTGAGGAACGGGGCCCTGGACCGCAAGGGATTTCCTTATATCCGACTTCAAGACTACAGGATTCGACTGCATAATTATGACTAATAATAATAATAATGTGTCCATTTATATAGCGCCAAAGTCCACACTAGGTGTGCTCATAGCGCTAACAATCAAGGCACAACACATTATACCCCGGATAACCCAAGCTGCCTGTTAGGCGTTAGAAGGCTATGACTATAGCATATTTCCAGGAAAATATTAAACATCACTCAAACAAGTAAAGGTGTATGTAATGTTGAGATTAGAGCTTTACAGAGGCATTGAATGTGACGAGTGAACAGGTCAACTTGCGTTCATTTTGCAATTTAATCGTATACCTTTTAGAAAATTTAGGTCTGCATCCTCATATCAGGCTTTTGCTGGTAAGCACCACAAAGCGCGAAAAGCACACGAACACCAAGTCACCAGTGACACGTTATAAGAGATGCTTGGAGTATTGCTGATGCATACAGCTGATTTGGATTATCATATTGATTGGTCAGAACAGGGTGTTCTGTTTTCGATCGTAGGTTATCCGTATGACTCTCACAGGAGTAGGCTTTGAGTGAAGTGGCAAGACAATCTGTTATCTGCTGAAGATCTGGAACCCACACAGATGCTGACTTTAACAGATGTTATACACAGAGCTCAATTTGTAACACATTAGGCTGTTTCTCCCTTACTTAAACGATCTTGTTTACGAAATTTAGACCCTGGTATGTAAATCTCCAGTATCACAGATGTCACGGTGTCTGACGCAAACAATGGTTGTTGGTGTAAATCATAGCTGAATGGAGAAACACCGCTGCTGCCGATTACGATGGACTTGTTTGCCTTCAGCTACTAGGAGCTACTAATTGAGCTATTCATCCCATCAGTTCATTTACATGTGAAAAACATCCAAAGTATACTAGTTAAAGGTCACATGCAAACAAAAAATCCAACATAATTAAAACACAATTATCACTTATTAATGGCATATAATATACATTGCTGATTATGAAAAAACATATAAGCAAAATCATAAGCGTACAATCGCAAATCAAAAGTGCATATTTTGTACTTGGGTTTACTTCCCAAGAAACGAAGCAGCCGGGATACCGAACCCAGTCAGAGCAGGTGGGTTTGCACTCAAGTGTAACGTCTGGTTCATTTGCCGATGCTCTCACGGCTCATTGTGTGTGTATATATAGAGCTGTTGGTGTTTGTAAATACATGCTCATTTTTTGTGTATAACATTTTGCAATCAACATAACATGTCATGTGTACAAGTATCACACCTGCCTGTCTGTGTAATTACATAATGTGACAGAGACCGAACTCGGGCCATAAATCAATGCGTTTTGTTTATGGTGTATAGCCTGATAGGTGTTAAGTTCAAATTGCATGTGGTCAGTGATCGAAGTTGTGTATTGAATATTGTCATTAGCAGACAGGCAGGCAGACACATAGGTGTCAATAAAACAGACATTGAGTTTTGTCTGTGACAACGACATATCTATATCACAGTTAGAAATTCTGTAGACGCTAAATAATGACATTGCTTTTAAGTATCGAACTGAGAAAGTGACTCGGTAAGAAGAACGTGTGGTGAAATAGACAAATGAAATTATACAAACAGTTAAATCGGCAATCTACTGTCATAACATATAAAAAAGCTTGCGCCTGTGCAATATCAACAATACATTAGAAAAATAGCTCACTCCAAAGCCTTCACCGAGTATTCACCAGACAACCCGCTTCCAAGCTGCGCGAACCTATTTCACTGCGCATGTGCCATGAGCGCAGCCCAGCTGTTGAAACCACTTTTCCCCCAAGCGCTGGGTGAAAATTAGTGAATCGTTTGAACTCCGATTTCGTGCGGTTTTTTTCATCGCGTTATTTTTCAACTTTATATGTTGAATTTGCATTTTTGATGATTTGTTTCGGTAAGTCCATACCGAAAGGTATCAGAATCTGCAAAGTTGTGTTTTACGTTGCATGTGACCTTTAATGAAACTTGGAAAGGTTTTGAACCCCGTTCCCTCAAAACTAGTTGGACCTGCTAACTTCGGGATATCGGAACATTCGAGATAACGGGACATGGAAAAGCTATATAGTAAAAAAGTTCAATGTTAATATGTGTACTTTATAGTGAGGCGGTATAGCTCTGAGACACCCGTACGTTGGAAACAACGGGGTCGAGATAACGAAGTTGGAATGCATTTCACTTCCTACGGGGATTTCATTTCAGTTTTCAGGTATATCTGATATTCTGTTCACTAAAAATTGCCTATATTGAAAGTAAAATGGCGTGATCCAATAGGATACTTAAAACACATATTCTGAAGTTGACAACACATGGGGCAAATTATCATAATGAAACTCAATGAATGCTTTATACATATATAAACCGATATACTGGATACAATTATATGGATACAAATGACTAAAGGAAACCTAAACGGAATGGTGACCGTTTTGGCAATTAATCTCATGAGAGTTTCAGGGCCATGCCCCACAGAAGAACATGAAGCGTATGTGATGTCTCCTGAATCATGTGGCTTTGTTCGAAATATGTCGCTGGTCAGAATGGGTACCCGGTAGGAGAATATGTTCATACAACTATTAACCTTTTAGCGCCTCAGTGGCTGTTTGGGTTACATATTCCCCAGGAAGCTGAGAATGAATATGAAAACATAATGTATCCGTGGGAGTCATACCTATCATGGTCTAAGCGCATTTGACTAGATATAAACTGGATTATACAAATCCATGTTTTCAAAGAATGTATTTCCATTACAGCCAAGCCGACGACCCCTGCCCCACGGACCACACCAGCCACCCCCAATGGCCCAGGTATGTTTCACGTGATTCACGGGTTTAACACCCGATGTAGGTGTACTGAGTAAGATGATGTCTGTTCCGACACATGCGAGTCATGTACAAGGCCGCTTTCAGTGGAACTGAAGCTGTTAAACATCAGTGTGCACAAAACGACACACAATGTCCTTATGACACGAATCGTACCTGGCTCTTCTACGCAACAAGGCCCACTCCACACAACCATCTCATTTTTACGAACATTAACGTCAACGGCCGAGAATAGTCATGCTCAGTTATCTGCCGAAACAGATTCCATTGAGCTGAAAAGTGAAAATAGAAGGGAACATTATATGGATTTCTCACTGTAAATGAGTGTTGACACCAGGTGTGCGGGATGGGTAAGCATGTCTCTCTTCCCACCCCCACCACCACCCACCCACTTACCGCTGGTACCAGACACAAATTAGAGTTTCAATGTGGAAAGGGATCCTTGGTATAAATGTGCTCTGCTACTATCCTACCTACAGAGGAAACCGAGACTACTGGTATATGTTGTAGATGAACCTTACGACATGTCCACGATGTGTGAATTAAACTTCAACACACTTCACGAGTTTCAAGCCTGCAACAGTAAATATTTTCACAGTCCCCGAACCGCATTACCTACCCTTTACAACATCTCACTATGAACTGTGGGCCTTAGATGAAGCAAGATTAGAATCAGATTCTGAAACTACTATCTCGACTGGTTATATATACCAATATTTAGCCTCCGAAATGAATTATATGTTTTACGCAATGGTATTTTTATCCGAAAAAAATGTTAATAAAACATATTTTTTAAAACGCGTAGAGACTTTCTTCATTTCAAACTGAAATTGCAGAAATCTAGACTTACGGACTCTTACAGACTAGCATGGGCTGTATTGAGCCTCACCCCTGTATGACAAACTAAGTATAGATCAAAGAGAATCAGAGATGTTAATCCTGCTCATCCCACGATCTATATCCTAAGACTGTCGGTGGCTCATATATCACTTTGGTCGGTCGAATCCTAAAATCATCCTGATTAGGACCGTAGGTGTCAGCATTTTATTCATTTTGTTGGGTTAAACTAAAACATACCATGACATTTTAAGCTCATCCTCTACGTCTTCTTTCCACTCCATGTAGTGAAATACAACAGACTCACTCACTCACTCACTCACTCACTCACTCTCACTCACTCACTCACTCACTCACATGGTTGTCCTTGTTTCTGCCCGGTCTCAGCATTTGCAGTGAATCGTTGTGTGCCTTTAATAATAGGAGGACCAATCCTCGCTGACCCGTCTATTGTACCTTCAGTACAGACAGCACTGGATTACCACCCGTAGTTCCTCTCTAAAGTACTCCCTCACTTCACTTATTTTTGCATTGATTCATCTCATAACTCTTAATATTATTTGTATGTTTTGTAGCGAGACCAATTGTCTATATGGAGGCTGAGCAGGTGATGAAGAGCAAGGGGGGCATTGCCTATCTCGTATGTCACAGCGTGGGTAACCCAGCCCCTGCTATGCACTGGACTCGCCACAGAAATAGACTCCACAATAGTTACAAACATCGGACAAGCACTACCAGTAACGGACCATTCCGTCAAAAGTCCGAGTTGCGGATCATGCACCTGGAAAGCAATGATTATGGTGAATACGAATGCTTCGCCCATAACAACAGAGGCAACGTAAACACAAGTGTCACACTCGTTGGTAAGTCGGCGTTAATGACGCTGGTATCTTCTTTGATGACTCAGACGTCGCAGTTGCGTCTCTTGGTGGTGGCTCGCGGGCACGGATACAAGTTCCGCCCAATCAGGACGTAAAGTCCTTCAACAACCCAGCCATGCTTGTTAGCTCCACAACGTAAAAGTTCCAGCTAGGATAGTTTAAGCTTTAAACCTCGTGATGTAACTGAATTAAATTACAAAATGTCATTGTCTTGAGAAATGAAAATATCATGCCTATCATCAGGTGTACCGTGTTCAGCCGGAAGTTCTGATGTGTGCCAAAAATAATTGTCCATTGATGCCAGTACAATGTTTCATTGTCTTGCTTTTGTGACCTGGGGTGAACCGGATGCAAGACAAATACAATCAAAATTACATCTCATTATTTTTACAAAATCACAAGGACTAACTATCCAAATGTCTTCCCACTGCATGTTCTGTTATGAACTGCTGTCACGTCAATAGGAAGTTGTTGTGTTGTTTTTGTTGTTGCTGTTGTTTTGGCGAAGGAGATCGCAGCACAAACACTTATTAACAATCTATATTTTTTGTCACGTCTGTCTCATTAAGCTTGTTTGATTTCTGTTTAGAACCTTCAAAATGAGCTCCAGTTCTGGCAGAATACCGAGACAATGCCCACAGACCTGAAGCCCGGGAGGTTCCCTCCACAACTGTACAAAGACATTCACCCTCGGGGCATACCAATTAGGTCGACGCCCTGGATGGACAAAACGTGTTCTACAGATACTTGGACAGGTCCAGTCGATGTGTAGATGACTATGAAATTTACTGTTCTGAGGACGCAAAGTGGCCAGGTGCTCCCCGGCTTCGAATTATTATGTGTTAATTATCTAAAGTGTTGAGAGAAATACTCCACGCTCGTGACATATCTCACGCTTTCTGTGAAAAACTTTGATGTTCTCAGCAACGCCATCTCAGCGCGTTGTTTGTAACATACTGGCTTCTTTTTGTATCCGAGAATTGAATAAAAGAAAGAATAAATCATTCTAATTTCATTAAGTACGAATGATGGAAGAATGACATTTTTCAAGATGTTTCGATGTAATGCGATATTTTCTTGACCCGAGGTTCTCTATTGACATAGAACAACAGCAATCATTTGGGGTTTATGGCTTTGAGTGCCCTCATTTTCAATCCATCACCTCGACATTCCTACTCTTAGAGGATATTATGCTTTCAAAACAGATGGTTCTGCCATTTGCTGATGGTCTTGTGGGGGTCCCTGGAGGTCATCCAAACAAATGGTGATCCTGGCACCGGGAGCTTGGTGATATTTATCCAAGTATTGTTTGGTTTTGCAAACTGATTGCATGTCAGTGTTGATGCAGGAGAAGCGTGTACCTGGCAGGTGAACATGGGAAGCTGCACAGAGACATGTGAAGAAGTCTTAGGGGGATTCCTACTTGTGCACCGGTCACATCAACACAAGAAGATTTCAACTAAACAGGAGCGATTAAATCGCGGCGACAAACTCAATAATGGCTATCTTGCACAAAACCTATTGCAGCTCAAAAGATGTTTCAACTCCATTATCTAATTTGGCCTAACAAGGCAGTCAGTGAAGGCCGAGGCCACTCGGCAGATTCCAGAAAGTAGGTTTCAACCAACTAAGTCGAGAATAGCGACACTTAACTACTGTAAGCTAAAAGAAAAATGATTATTGAACCAGATTGGTTTCTCCTCGCCATGTCTGCACTTATGATCAAAGTGTGTATTTGGTGTATAAGTACAAAAAAGGCATTCTCGGTTGTTTGGACTTATTCATGCAAAACAAAACACGTGAATGCATATTAGTACATTATGAATAAATATGTGAGCAAGCAGATGTCGATTTAAATGTAGAGCAAAAGGTTTTACAATAGTTATCGAAGTCGTTAGGCAAACAATACACCAATAGCTGATGGTGGTTTACAATCAGACAATAGGAACTGCTTCTTTGATAAGTATTTTGTAGAGTACCACAGTTGTGTTTGCAGTGTTTCAGCAACTGCGTTCAGCCAGGTTGGGTTTTAACAGTGTTTGTGATGCTTTACGACAACTCAGATTGCCAAATGTATAATTTATTTGTTCCGGCAGTTGATTTTCTGCATCAATAATAAGGATTAAAAATTAAAATCTGATAAATGAACATAGTCCTTATGAGGTGGGGTTATGTGCAGTGAGGTCTTCGTCACGTGTTTAATTGTTTGGTTAAATGCTTTGGTTTGCCCAGTTTGTTTATTCGAGCGAGTGAGTTTAGTTATTCGCCGCTTTTAGCAATATTCCAGCAATATGACGGCGGGGACACCAGAAATCGGCTTCACACATTGTACCCATGTGGGGAATCGAACCCGGGTCTTCAGCGTGACGAGCGAACGCTTTGTCTATGTCACGCCGAAGACGTTCGATTCCCCACATGGGTACAAAGTGGAGATATTGTTGGGATATTGCAAATGAGGCGTAAAACTAAACTCACTCACACCTAGGCTAGGTAACGACAAGTACCATATGACACTACCAACGGATCGAACCTGTTCAGCTTACGCCCTAAGCAAAAGCAAAAGCTTTTGTGAATTTGTTATAAGAATTGTGGTAGAGTCTGTAGAAATATGTGTCAGCAAAATGATAGTATATTCATAAGGCGACTTCCTTCGTGGTGTGGTGAAACGGGCGTGAGTTGAACAGGTTCGATCCGTTGGTATGGCATATGGTACTTGTCGTTACCTAGCCTAGGTGTGAGTGAGTTTTGTTTTACGCCTCATTTGCACTATCCCAACAGTATCTCCACTTTGTACCCATGTGGGGAATCGAACCCGGGTCTTCAGCGTGACGACCGAACGCTTTAACCACTAGACTACCCCACCGCCCCTTGTTTATCCGAGGTGGATGAAGATACGATATTCATCTTACACTACCTTAATATGATACATTCTGCATATGATTTAGTGAGCATTGACATTTCACAAATATTATGAACATAAATCGTTACCTTGGTTTGGCACCATCAGTGAATAGCTACTTGGGTATAGGGACGCCCATTCAGTTGGTTACATTAACCAGTCGCTACGAGAGGTGTTTACGTCGTGGGATCCGCAAGGCTTCTTGTGTTTGGTTGTTATCATTACGGATGAGTGATTATACTCTATAATCTTGTTTGTCAGAGATTTTATAAAAGCGAACACATTATGTTCTGGCTTTAATCTATTCGTGGATTTTTATATCCCTTCAGAAAATAAACGGACTTATAGCTCCCGAACTCATTAGAAGTATCTAAGTTAGTGAAAAAAGACCAGTCAGGCAATCGTAAAAGAGTGCATATTGTTAAACGCCGCGGCTAACCCTAATCCAGGCAACCTTTTGATAATCGAGTCTGGATCAAACAACTCAATGATTGATATAATAAAGTGAACCTTCTGCTGAGTAGCATGTTTAAGTGAATCCGATCCACCATGAATCCTTACGAGGGGTCCAGACAATCTCTCTCTCTCTCTCGAATTATACTGATTCCGAAACGACCAGTCCTTGTCATGTCTCCGTATCCTGAACTCCAGCCACAGCAACAGCACGTACCATATTTTAGCGTCTTTTGTATGGAGCAGCTTTCATCCCCTTCTCCTATCACCCTCTCGTATACTACGCAGTCGATCTTACCATGTAACGAGATTTCACTGAATCATGCTGTGTTACAATGCGCAGTGGGAAAGATACATTCAAATACAGGCCGCATTAACTTCAGCAACATATACTCTCATAACTATTTTTTGTGTGACACTATGGTCAAAACGCTTCAAGTTATAACGTGTTTCGATCAGCGATAAACAAACCTCAAACATAAATCTAAGGGAAATTGAAAACTCTCACTTTGTGCTTTTTATTGCATCATTTTATTTATTCAATCAACAGCCATGTCGGGGAAAGGCTCTCTTTGAACCGTTATTAGACACACCTCCCTAGCACCAAAAGGAAGCGCTGGGCCTTTAAAATAATTAAAACTTAAGTATTCTCCAGTCTGGGAAATTACCAAACATCCTATAATATACAAACTTATAAAGGTTCTAATCTTTTTGAACTGATAAGTCTTGATATGTATTTTGTTCAGGGCTGCGGGGTTGCCTAATGGTTAAAGCGTTCGCTCGCCACACCAAATACCGGGTTCGATTCACCACAAGGACTCATTGCGGGTAGCACATTTTCTGTAATATTGAAAGAATATTGCTTAAAGCGGCGAAAAAACAAACTCACTCACTCCTTTTGCCTCCGCTATTCTGTGAGCGAATGGGTGATTGAGTGAGTGAGGGTTTATGCGTTACCCGTCACGGAAATTAAACCTTGGCCCACGACATGGTAAGTGTACATCCCCATCCCACACTCCAAGGGAGGAATTATTTGATATAATTATTTATCATAATGTTGTCATATTACAATACAACTGTAGCTGCCATCATTAACATATTAATACCAAAAACGCCATCCACAAGACTACCTACACCTGTGAGCGTATGTTTACAACGGATTTATTTGCTTACACTTTCTTCACATGCTCGTTCTATTTAATTCTTTTATAATTGATAGGATTCAAAACTGCTCTAAACACAAGAGAACACGGATTTTGAAATCCAGCTAAGCTAATTACAATTTGAATTTAAAAAAATAATTGACCTAAAACATCACGTGCAATCTGTCGCAGCCAGTGAGTGAGCAATCTTCACCAAACCTGTATGATTCCACTGTGATCGAGCTTTCAAGCTCTGATACTCTAACGTTCAGGGAAATGTCACAGAAGTTGTATTTTGAATTATCCTGTTCTCAGGGGATGCGCTCCCGGTTTGGAAAACACTGTAGCGATGATTCACGTGCCTTTTAGAATTGCAGAAATGGCCAATTAACCAAATGAGATCTAATGGAGTCTAAAAGAGAGGTTCATCATACGGTTGATCAATATGAATTCTCTAAAACGAGCATCAAATAATATTTAAATGACATTATTGTCGGTTAATATTCTAAAACATTCATTCCTTGACTCCAGTGGTGATTACCTCCCTTCTTCTTTAACAAAGAATGAGTTTTTTGTTTGTGGGTTATAGTGCGCGAGATGGGATTACTCATTCAGCTAATTGTCGGAGCTGGAATCACAGCTATAGTAGTCTGGGCATTATCAACAGGTCAGCTGGAAAACCCACTTTAATGACCCATATTTTAGTGTGATGAGAACGGAATCGGGCAGAGACCCTGGTCAATAGAATTGTTAACCCATGTGACCGTATCTCTAGTTCCATGTCCATTTCAATCCCGTCAACAAGTTATGATGTCTAATATGAATAACACAGACAGAAATATGCAAATACCTCTCAGGACTGAGAAATCGTTTCTCAATAATGACTCAATTTACATTTACAGCTTGCTAAAATACCCCACCCACATATTCGGACAGGACATTCTCATTATCTGATTGAATCCTAACTGTTTCTCGTGTCTGGCAATTACGTCAAGTGGACTTATTACGTCGTGCAATGTTCAGTGTTGTACCAAAGGGTTCGATCGATTCTTGAGTTGCAGTCTTTGTTTCCCTGTGTTTTTTTAGTTGGATATTATACATCACCAGTACGTCAGGCCTTAGTATGATCATTATTTTGACTGTATCACTGATACGCTTCCATACCTTAGTACTGCTGTAGTTCATCATATTATTTCTTAGTACAATATTAGTACATCATGTCTCAACACACACTGTACATCATGTCTTGACACATCCCCAGTAAGTCATATCTTAGTACGCCAAAGTACGTCATGTCTTGACACATCCCCAGTAAGTCATATCTTAGTACGCCAAAGTACGTCATGGTTTGATACCGTCCCAGTACGTCATATCTTAGTACCACCGAAGTACGCCATGTCTTGATACCGCCCAGTACGTCATATCTTAGTACCGCCTAAATACGTCATGTTTTGATACCACCAAAGTACGTCACATCTTGGTGCCGCCTAAGTGCGTCATGTCTTAATAA